AACTTCAACAGGCCCAAGGGCATTGCATCATAGTGCCACATTTCTCCACAATTACGTTGATTGATTATCTTCAATATTAGTTGATTCTATAATATCTCTTGTAATGATTTCCTTCCATATTTATTTCCTAGACTTTAGGAACAAGTTATAAAGAGGTCTTTAAAAGGCCCATGTACTCGTATAGACAAATATATACACAGAAAATATGTTTTGAAAAAATCATTATGGTATCAGAGCATACTGCATAAACATAAAAAACTTCTTCAATTTGAATAAGACAATATGTCTTCCGAAACAACCGAATCCTCCACCATTGCACCATCCTCTCCTATTATTCATGTTCAATCTGAAAATTTTGGCTTCAACGCTGGTATAACCCTTACCGAAACCAACTATGACACTTGGTCCCAAATCATTGAAATGCATATTGCTGGACGTGAGAAACTTGATTATATATTGGGGACTCCCCTCAACCTAAATCAAATGATCCTTCTTACTCCAAGTGGTATGCCGAAAACCAAAAAGTTAAAAGCTGGTTGCTCACATCAATGACACCAGAAATCATGAAAGGTATCGTACGGCTCGTGAAATCTGGAGTGCTCTTGCTAAAGCATTCTATGATGGATCCGATGAAACACAAATATTTGCCCTTAACCAACGTGCATTCTCAATTCGACAATCAGGTCGATCTCTTCCAACTTATTATGGTGAACTTGTTGGAATATTCCAAGAACTTGATCACCGTGACAAAGTCAAGATGAAGGATCCAGATGATATCATCATGTGCAAGGCACCCATTGAAAAATTGAGAATCCACATTTTTTTAAATGGTCTTGAAGCTGATTTTGAACAAGTGCGAGGAGAAATCCTTCATATGGATCCAAGTTTGGATCTTGAACGCACATATGCATATGTTCGCTATGAAGCAAATCGTAAGTCTCTTTTAACTGGTGATCTGACTACTTTTGAACTTGTGGCTATGATAGCCCGACGGAATAACTCATCTGTTCGACCAACCAATACAAGTGTTGTACCATCTTCTTCAACAACATCTCGTAGCTTTGATATTGGAGGTAAGCAATCTGGTTCAACAAGACATTGTACTCATTGTGGCTATGATCTGATTAGATATCCTGAATGGTGGGATCCTTCCAAGGCTCCAAAACGTAAAGCAAAAATTGCAGCAGCAAATGTATCATTTTCTACATCCATAGTTGAACAATCTTCCCAACCAGATGTTGCTGCTTTACACATCTCTTCAAATCCACCAGATAAATTGTTCTATAAATCTGCCACTATTGGGTCAAGGACATGTATAATTGATTGTGGATCAACTGATTGTATGTCTTTTAATACTACATTCGACCTAAAACCATCTGAACAATCTGTTGTGTCTACAGCCAATTGTACAGAAGCTAGTGTTATTGGTAAAGGTTCATTCTCTCTTGATAAACTGAATTTAAATTTTGTTCTTATAGTTCCATCCCTGAATTTTAACTTAATCTCTGTATCTCAAATCACTACCTCTTTGAATTATGTAGTAATTTTTTAGCCTGATTATTGTGTTTTTAAGGACATCAAGACAAAGAGGATGATTGGTTGTGGTACTAGAAAAGGGAAGCTCTATTATCTTGATCTTACTCCATCCTTAAGTGCATTGACTCACTCAAGTTCGGAACATACTAGTTTAGCATCTTCTAGTTCAGAACATGATATTTGGTTATGGCATAAATGTCTTGGGCATGCTTCATTTGGCTATTTAAAGTATTTATTTCCTAAGTTATTTTCAAAGACATCTCCTTCAATGTTCAAATGTGAAACCTGTGAATTGGCCAAAAGACATCGGGTTCCTTTTCCAATAAGTTCGAATA